CTATCTATCTATCTATCTATCTATCTATCTATCTATCTATCTATCTAGTTATATATCTAATAAAAAAAATAAGTGATCTAATTTTACTTGGTAAAACCTTTACCGAAAGTTTGTGTAATGGGGCCCTGTTGACAAAACAATGGGAATACGTTTCTCCCCCTCACAACAGTTCATGCCTCAACATATTACTAAACTGTCCTTCACATGCGAACCTACTGCCACACCCACCAAAAGCTGGTCCGACAGAGCCCAACACAGCTTTAGGATCAACTCATAATTTCCTGTTAACATGAACAGAAAAAGAGCTGCAATTGCAAGCTTGGGCAGCCTAAAGATGATCCAAAGCCCTCCTCTTCTCTCGCCATCAACACCGGGGTTGCGAGATTGCTCAATTTTCCTGTCATGTCAGCTACAGCCGGCCGAATTTGAAAGGGGATCAGTTCTTTCCCACTGGGCAACCATTCAAGCACCTTCACCGATAGAAAAAGCAAAGGATCACATCATGCTTAGATAAGTGCATCTTGTGGCTCCGAGGATTATCATTGTGTGCAGTGTGAGTACAAACAGTAGACTCATCAAATGCTGTGTGCTAACACTGAGTGCCCTGACATGCCACTGGAAGTGTGACATTTCAGCGTGTAGAGACTAAAAAGCACAAGGAGAGAAGAAAAAAAAAGAAAGAAAGTAAAGCACTCTTTGCAGTAAATTTCTAGTTCCTGTTAGTAATTACTGCAACGTTGGCTGTTCAAAATAATAAGTACCAGGAGCAGCATTTTCCAACAGAACCGCTGCTTGTTTTCTTTCTTTTTTCCTCTCTTTAAAAAAAAAAAAAAACAGACCCACACATTGCAAAACTTACCTTTTTTGATGACTGTCTGATCTGCCATAATAATACTGTGGTCTTCTACGTGCTGATAAAATAAAGGCGAGAAGTAGATAAGTGAATATGTAACAAAATACAAATAAAAAAGTTTGTTTTTGCACATTTTGATAACTAATGCAATCAATGGTTTGCTTCTTTCATATTTAAACACATCCAAACTTGCAGGAATAAAATAAGCAAACATGGTTATCTTATTAGATTAGCAGAAAGCTATATCACTGTACTTCAGATGATAAAGAATTCAGTGTTTTCAAAGTAAATTATTATGTGCCTTGTTAGGATTGCAGGTCATTTTCCTAACACTGTAAAAAAAAAAAAAAATAATAATAATAATTTAAAAACATGATCCGTCTCCCCCTAAAGTGTCATTTCCAAATCATTACAAAAATCCACATGCACTCACTTGAACGTCGTCCAGTCCGTGCACCATGTCGGGCATGCCCATGTTGTCTCCAATACCCGAGGTGTCCAGGCTGTGGCCGTGTGACGGGAGCAGCTCCGGCCGCCGAAAGCCTTCCCTCCTCACCCCGGACGAGCCTCCCTCCAGGCCCAGAATCTGACTGGCCAGTCCGGCCCTCCCGTGCGGGCCGAGCCCCTCCTGGACCTGCCGGCCCGGCCAGGGCTGCTGCTGGTTGGACGACGGGGACTGGTGTAAGGGGTTGATGTTGAAGGGGTCCCCGAGGTGCGAGTAAGGGTCCCCGGACTGCTGGTAGGAGATGGGCTGGTAGGGGGGAGGGAAGTACGGGGGCTGGAAGTCCGAGCTGGGCGGGTGCGAGAGGGTGGGCGACGGGCTGTAGAGGTGCTGGCTGACCGGCAGGTGAGGCAGCCGGGGGTTCCCGTTACTGCTGCCATCGTGCCTCTCCTGCAGGACCAAAGGGGGGAAAAACAGAGAGCTATGGCAACAAGATGGCAGGTGGGAGAGACATTCGTCCCCCTAAGGGAACTGTGTGTTGAAATAATGTTCAGTAAAAAAAAATTGGAAATTAAAAAAATTACCTCGTTCTCCTCCTCTCCTTTTGTAACACCGGTTTAAAACTTTTATCATTGTGAACACAGGCTTTTAAAATAAGACTTTAATTATGACATTTGTTTTGCTTACCAACGCTTTCATTTATTTTTGCTTAGATTGTGTGAAATATATAATTAACGTTATTAGGCATATTAATTGTATTGCTGTCATAGGGAATACGTATACTCATTTAGTCACAGTTGACACTATAATTTAAACTTAAAACTTTGTTTTATCCATGCTCGATTTTTCTTTTCTTGCTTTTTAAAAACCATATTTTCCCATAAGAAAGCTGTTTGAGGAGTTTCAGCTTCCTTCCACTTCGCTTCTCGCCGCGGAAAAAAAAACAGTTCCTAAAAATTCTCGTAGTTAAAAAGAAAACTTTTTTTTCTCTTATGCCCCTCCACTCCTCTTTTTTTTATCTCCTAGGAACTCACCTCACAGTCGTCCTCGTATTTCACGTTGTCAGCTAATTTCCACAACATTCTGCCTGAGGAAGAACGAGAACGTTTTTCTCCTTTGCAAAAAGTTAGCGGTTGAAAAAAAAAAAAAAAGAAAAGAAAGGTCGCCTTTGGTTAGTCCAGGAGTGAAACGATTAGGAGGCTCCCGCGGTGACCATGAACCCGCCTGATCCTCAACTGGAACTATCCCGCAAAAAACAGACAAGCCTATACGACTTTCCACTTGGACTGCGAGGGGAAAAATGATCGTTTTCAAGGAATATCCCCCCCCCCCTCTCCAGTCAGTGTGCTCCGGAGTTGTGTTGTGAAAGTGGACCAAACTGCCGTATAAGAAACTCGACTCCCTCTTATGGACACAGCGGCGATGTTCACTCTTATTGGTCCACAAAAATGAGCCCCGCATCTGCATCTGCACAGCCACGCGGAGTGGGCGTGGCCCTGTCAGCGACAGGAGAAGTGACAGTCCTGCTGATTGGCGGGTCGGTGGACCAATAGGAATTCTGTCCGTCTGTGTGCGGTCCTTTTGTCATTAAGGTCTCCTTTAACCTCCTGAGACCCGAGCTTTTATTTGGCATGCATTTTAGCTTTTTTTTTAAAGATATATGAGATACATATTTAATTAAATGTTTTTACAATTTTGTTCTGACAGTCCCATTGACTTATTTACATTTTTTCTATTACACAATAAGAACATGATTGGATGGAAATGTATAAAACCATTTTACTTTAGATTTCAAACAGTGTCTGATAGCATCTGCTATGAGGCCAAGAGGTCAAAGCTGAAAGAAAAAAAAAAGTATCATGGTAAAGAGAGACAAAAATGCAACGTCCACTTATGAGGACACGGGGTCTCAGGAGGATACGGAGAATCTTCTCGCCAGAGGGACTGCCTTGATTTAGTTTATTTCAGTCAAAGTCAACGTTCTGTTTCCAGATTGGGTCGTTTTGAAACAGTGATCAACGTTTTTTTTATTTTTATATTTGTCTGTTTTTTAAATATAGGAGTCATTACGGAAACACATGATCAGAGCTCTCGCTGAACATCCCAACAAAGAAGGCTATAATTTTATTTATGTGTGTATTTTGTTTAGGGAGGACTAATGCTTCTTAGAAGTTTTGCACAGTTTAAGCCAAACACTGCTTCAACCTTTGTTACTGTTACGGGCGGCGAAGTTAATGAGAGTTTCAGGCTCAGTTTTGTACATCCACTCAATACTTACTTGAACATACTTGAAAAAATATATTTTTAAAATGTTTTATGCTTAAAAATTATTTTTATAAAATATTAAAATATTTAATCAATAAATGTATTGAATTAATATGTTTTTCTTGTAAAATCATCTTATTATTATTATTATCTTTATTATTGTTATTATTATACAAAAAAAATTAAGCTTTAAATGCTTACAGAACGTTGTTGTTTTTCAATCACAATATTTATGTTCTATTTATTGTTTTATCAATATAATACATGCCTCCAGTTTATTGTCTAATAGGAATTTGAGAACGCCAATGACATTTTAATGATGGAGTTTCACAGTGGTGGTTAAGTGCTTGTTTCAAACCGCGATAAGCCTGAGGGCTTAGCAGCACGACTCTCAAAACCCTTCTAAAGCTCAAAGAATCTCAACAAACAACTCTGTCAAAGCTTCATTTGAATTTTAGTAAAGCTTCGCAACGTTTAAAACGACTTGCTTTGAAGCTCTCATGTCAATAAAAATGTATAGGCCTATACATTTGAATGATTTATACATCTGTGGGAGTGGTAAACGCTGTCCTGCTTCCTTTGCCAATTAATGACATACTCTTTAACTCCTTAACTTTGTATCGTTTGAGGTCAAGCAATCGCCAGATTTTAATCTGTTAAGTTTGTGGTCAGACTTCGGTCTTTTGTCTTAAGAGTCAGTGGCGTTTATCCAGCCACGCTGTGATGCTCGCTGTGGCATGGGAACCAGAGGATGTGCACGGCTGAGGATTATCCTCCCCTGCGTGTTGGTCCTCGTCTTGCTGTGATGCGGAGCAGAAGTGAAGTGGCTGATGATTAAATATCCTCCTGCGATGGAACAGGCAAGGGAGCAGGCCTATAGAAAATTACTCACGCTTGGCCTGACTGTAATGTGTTCAGCTCGTCATTTAAATGACCAACACTAACCCACTTTATGTCAGGTGTAGAGATTTTTCACAGGCGGAAAAAGAAAAGTGGTAGTTTAAGTCTCTAAGCCAATTTCTGCTGATAATTTCCTAAATAAGCTCCCAACCAGAAACTGGAATTAATTAATTCAAAATGAAAGAGAAAAACACGAAAGCTTATTTAAAGTGCGGCTGATTACATATGTATTAGTTAATAATAACGTAGGCTCAATTTTAGTTTACATAGGCTTCCCATGTCATGATATTTAAGTTTTGATAAAAAATATATCGTGATCATAGTCGGTTTTTCTTCTTATAGGTTTCTTAAAGCTTGAATAAATAGAAACGCAGTGATATAAATATGCTGAACAAATCGAAAAGTCGAAACTGGCCTTTGCAGTTATGTTATTGAAATCAAAATTTTAAAATAGTAACATGTACTTTTAAGTTAACCTAAAAATCACTCTCATAAGCGTCCAGCCGAATCACTGGAGGTTTCGGAGAGGCTAAATATCTAAATATCTGGCCTCCCTGACATGAACCTCGGCTTTCTGAGAAGCCCTGCACGCTGCGCGATTGCAAACAGGTGATCCTGGTGGAGAGCCATAAAACAACCATCGTCTCAGCCGCAAAAAAGGCGATAAACACGACGCAGGTTTGTTTGAATTAAACCAGCCGCATGAAGGGAAGAAGACCACTCACCCTCCAGTCTATCCTCTCCAGCACAGACATCTGCGGGGCTCCGGTCTCAGCGGGCGCAGCGAATGAGTGAAACCATGCGGAGTTTTGCATTGTGCGCTTCACCTGACAACCGCGCAGTGCGCGTGCGCCGTCCGCCAGGATACACCTGAGGGGTGAGGGGGGGGGGGGTTAGGGACAAGAAAATAAATCCAACACCCCAGCGACAACCTTTTCACGCCTGAAGAGCCTAACCTTTTTTTATTTTTCAAAATCCCAGGCTACCACAAAAGGGCACATGGCAGAAATGATTAAGGAGCATACACTGTCAAATGTGATTTTTCTTTTTCTTTTTTTTTAAAGCTGCCCATGACTTTTATTTATTAAAAGCAAAAGTGGACAAACGACAAACGGCGGGGGGATTTCTTAAGATGAGGTAATGCCTCCCCCTGAGCCACACCGCCCCAGGCTGACCTGAAGAATCTGCTTTCAAAAGTCACTGAAGCTTTTGGAGGCCGAAAACGGCTCCTGTTATCTGATCTCCCCAAAACTTCATCTTAAACTAATGACCACATCAAAGAGGTTTTTTTTTTCTATGTGGTTGAGAATGTAGCCTACAAATCTTGTTCAGAGAAAAGAATCGTACACCTTTTTGATCCACAACCACACCTGTCAGAGCTAAGGCCTGACCGAGCAAAGGCATTTCCAGCAATAGCCCAATAACACAGTTGGATCATTTATACATAATAAGGGAAACATCACACCTTTCTGAAAGGAAAAGATTGGTGAGACTAAAAAAAATTATGTACCTGAATATATGGACTCTATCTATATATCAACCTATATAAATTCTATTTCTATCACTTCAAAAGAATAGTTTTACTTAAAAAGATATAATTACTTTGATTACTTTGATTTAAAAAAAAATATATATATATTTATTTTATATATAACAAAATATATATATAATAATATATATAATATATATTTATAGGAATTTATATTTCTATATATTTACATTGATATATATTATATATATTTATAAATATTCATATATATAAATACATATACATATATATAAATGAAACGGTCATTTAAAAGTGAAATAAGACAGCTTGGATTTTGGTAAACCTTATTTAATTTTTGTAGTGCGCTAACATACATACATATACATATATACAGAGAGAGATGTTCATTTTCTATTTATGTTTTTAAGATACATAAATCCCTAGAGTTAAAATGCAATTGCATGTTTATATAAAAGTGAATCATCAACGATTTGATGTATTGTGGTGGGAATAATTAGATATCTGTGGGATATCCCATTTTTGTATGGGTTCCAAAGTTCATGGAGTCAACCGGTGCCATGTGGATGGCTCTGCCGCCATCTTGTGGCCATATGGCCTCATTACAACACCAATCAATTCTGAAATCTGAAAAGAGTGGGACTTGTGTTATGGTTGAATTCACCTGCTTTTTAAATGATAAGGACATTTATCGAGGCACATCATGCAAAAGTAAGCCTGAGGGTAATCTTAGATAATCAATTTGAGTGTGCAACATGTTATTATGATAATAATAAAATACAAACTTTTAATAGAGGGTACAGTGGGAAGCCCTGTCAGATGAAAATATTTCTTATTGATAACATTTTTGACATGCTGGCAATTAAAACATAAACATTTGAGGTGTTGTAGATATTAATTTCAAGAAAAGGATTGCTATGTAATCTATATACAATACTTCAGACCAATCACATTGGTTAAACCATGTTAAAGCAAAATCGCTAGCACTACATGCAAAGGTTTCTTGGAAATGTTTTGGCATATTTTCATTTTCCATCTGTTTTTCTTACCAGAGAATCAACTCTGCTAAGAACAGTACCATATCTGACCATAAATGCCCGAATCATCAGGGTTTGCCCTCAATCAAAAACCATGAGGGCCACTCATGCATTTTTTCTACACAAAGTAAACTTTGTACACAGATTTTCATAAAAATGTGACATGTGGTGTTGAAACTATCATGAAAAACTACAAAACAGACCTAAGATCGGTATTGTGATATAGTATGATTCATATGTTATTTTGTTATCAATTTTTTTATGATTACATAATCTGGGCCTTAGTGTTTATGAACTGAGGACTAATTAATATTTGCAAAGTGAAGAAAAAAAGTAGGAGGAATCTGAACGTAATGAGACAAAACTTTATTGGGACATTGTTGCAAAATGAACAAAAATACTTTCAATTACCTTTAAATCTGTGAGAACTTGAATAAGTGTGTATTGAGTGTGTACAATTCTACTTAAACATTGAAGATCAGGGAAAAAAATTAATTTATATGGAAAAAATACTCTATAGGTTGTGTTCAGCCGCTAGACTTAAATTCCACATCATCCAGCAAAACTGTATTTTGGTTTAAGTACTTTTTCCTGTTCATGTACAACTTAATTCCATACATTTCCTATAATATCCTATCCCAGCTGTGATTGGGTGAGAGAAAGAGTGCACCCTGAATCACCAGATAACCAGTCCATCACAAGATTCTCTACAGCATAAAAAAACAAAAATAATTCTGAGGAAAAAATACAATAATAACTGATCAAAGCAAAGGATGAAAATAAGCTTAAATCCTTTGTTTGACTGGTAAATATGTTTCTGAAAAATAATATGGATATAAAAAGGGAGATGTTGCAGTGAAAATAGCGTCAGTTATTTCCCACTTAAATAAAAAAGCTGTACTCTTGCCACTAGGAGGCAGCAGAGTAACAGATCCTGAAGTCATCTTGGAACAACTCTCAGAACAACTGTGACTGAGAGTCCAGACAGCAGGGGAAATGCATGGGAGAGGCCTTAGGCTACAAAAGAAGAGGTCTACGGCGCTCGGGGGGCTCTTAACAAAATGTTGACAGCACGTATACACAGCCAATGAGAACGGAGGAGGGGAGCTGGGAGCGAGTCCACCCACCGGTGACATAACAATTTCAGGTCAGCTGGGAAAAAGGTGAACACATGCTATTATATGCTAGCATATGTCTGATATACTGAACAGGGTGATGGATGGTTTCACTTTTTGCTTTGCAGTGGGTGACGGCAGCTAGAAGTGATACGGGGTGTGGGTGACCCAGTTGGATGTCTGATCTTTGGAGCGTTTAGCAGAGCTGTGTGTGGTGAAGAGGGACTTAAAGACCTCAGACTTTCCGTCCGTCACTTGGATGGACCTCTTTGTGGCGGAGGCTTTACTGGAGGTGGAGGATCCAGAGGGCCCATCTTCAACTGCTTTGGAAATGACAAATAAGAAAGAGGGGATTAATATCATCTAAGGTTCACCTCCCCTAATCTCTTTTTAAAAAGGTAATTCTGACATAGATTGCAGTTTTTGTTTATATTCAGAAAAGTTTGAACATCATATAGGTGCATCTGCTTGAAGGAGACGGCAAAGATTTGCTGATCCCAGTCTGTTGGGTACAGACACACCCCTCAAAGACAAGACAGGAAACTGAATCAAGCACAAAAAAATGCCTGGAAATTGTTCACTACTTCAACATAGTCATAGTTCTTTGTAAAGAGCGGAAACAGGTTTTGAATGACCCAAATATTAGAGGGAAGTGAGTTCCATGTGCAAGCAGTCTGTAGTTTTAGCTTTGTGAATCAAAAGGAAAAACCCTCGTTTCATAAGAGGTTAGCTCTCGCAACCACACAGAAGATGCACAGTGATGCACCTTATGTGCTTATTTTATACCAATTAATAATTGAATCGTAAAAAAGTAATAGATATTAGTCAAAAAACATTTCTAAGACATGAAAAGAGTGTTCATTACAATGAGTTCTTACAGTTTGTGATAGCATGCTATTGAAGACAAAAAAGACTTAATGAGCATTACCCGCTCAAAGAGGTAAAGAGCTTATGTTTGATGTGATTGTTTTTTTAAATGCCTGGACTTTAAAATTTACCAGAAAAACTTACGGGGACTGTCTTCATGAAGGTAACTCCAACATCCAGCACATTTGAAAGTAGTAATGACTAGTTCACGAGACAATCAAGTACATTTATATTGGTGCACAAATTCACCCACTGCTGAGAGAAGCACCACCTGTGGAGCTTTCACCCATCTTAATCACAAGATTTGTAACTTTACACTTAATCCCTTTTTGTGCAAATGTGGGCTGGAGGACAGACATTCATCAGGCAAAATGTCAAGACAAAAGCAGTAACCACATGGTTGGATCGCTTTTTCACTGGATGGTAGTGAATAAAGGGGGGCTGAAAGTGGGATGCTTGTTATGGCAGATGGAGCTGTTCAAATTTCCGTGTTTGTGTGTATTTCTGAAAGAGAAGTGTGTTTACCTACCTGACTGGTTGCTTTCACTCCCCTTTTCTACTGAGCTCCTCCCGGCTACGTCCACTGGTGGAGACTGTGTGTCTTCTGTTGTAAAGTGGGGAGGGGGGGGGTCACATTCAGGCCAAACAGAGAATATAACTCAGTGCAACTAGTGACATATCCAAACATTATTCAAATGAAGAGGTGCTTCATAGCATTCTGTTAGCTGGCTAGTTTTGCTTATGTAAATGCTAAAAGCCTTTATCTCAACACCACTCAGACTTAGCACAAACCCTTTGATTCTGAAGCTGCACACACAGTCTCGGCTGCCTTGTTCTTCTTTGATTTCTGTCAAGGTAAATACAAAGTCAGGTTATAGATCTGAAAAGTATCTTCACAGGAATTCAAACCTGGGTACCAACTTTCTTACCTTCTTATTACTTTTAGATTTGGCCCGCTTGTCCTCCATCTTCTCCCTCAGTTTCTCCACCTCTTCCTTTGTGCCATTGAGCACAACAATGGTGTCATCTTTAAAAGGCTCGCCACACTGGAAAGTAAAAATACGAATGTAACCATCCAAATAAAGAAATAAAAGAGAAAATATCAGTGTCAGGTAAATTAATGATTAATGTTCAGCATTTTTGTTCCAAGGTAGTGAAGTCACATTGTGCTTTATTCTATTATATTGTCTCAATAAATTAATACCAACATAAATTATGACAAATTCAGGGAAATCTCCATTGTAAATTGTGTGTTATTGAGTTGGAAGAAGGGATACATTTAAATAAAGTGGAATAAAAAGGTCTTAGAGTTTTTATTATTTTATTATATTAAATAATTATCTACTTCACAGGTAAAAGCTTAGTTTGCTAGCCATTTAAAAAAATCACTTCTCTGACGAGGTGAAATGAATGTTGTGTGTACAAGTTTCCGCTGAACAGCATAAAAAGGGACCTGTTGCTTTTTTGTTTTTTTGTCTTGCAAATGATTGCTTTGTTTCCTCTGAGTAATGGAAGTCTGTAAAATTCTGAGGTATTTGCGGTTGGCATTTGGAAGGTAAAATGGGGGAATATCAAATCTGGGTAAAGTATTTACATATCTTCTGAAAGCATCTGGGTCAACAACATAGGCTCAGAGGCAAATGTAGGCAAATCAATCAGAATGACAAGAGCTAGGGAATATTTTCTTATAAGCAACCATAAATAAATCTAATCAAAAGTTTTTTTTGTTTTTTTTTTATGTTAAACCTTAACAGGTAATTCATCATTTTATTCAATTGTCCATTTTTCATCCTTTAAAGATTAAATTCTAACAAACAAACAAATTAACATTAAACTTGCTTGTAACGACACTATGGAAAAAAATGCCCAAAATATTTAACTCCGTTTCTGTGTAAAACAAGAATAGCACAAGCAGCTTGGCTGCTTAATAAAAAAAGGGGAAACCCACACCCATATGAACACAAACATAAAACCGAGTAACCAGCGGGGATCTATTGTGTGATCATAATGCAGGCTCAGTGGGTGTGAACTCTGGCCATGTGCTCTGTCCAGTACAACAGAGATAATCTCAGAAGCTGACGGAGCAGCAAACAAACTCTGTGGGAGCTGCTCTGAAGTCAGTTACTCATCTGTTGCAGTTACCACAAATGACGCCACTGCGAGCTGAGCCTCTTATCGTAATTTAACGGAACAAGCTCACAAGAGGACGCGGCAAATCAACAGGAAGGGAGTATGAGAGAGGCAGTATTCAGAGAGAAGACGCTGTGGATGACTAACTATGAGCAAATCAAAGTGGATGGAAGAGCTGGAATTTGAAAAACTTCGAATTCATAGAAAAAAGGAACCTTTGCGGAGAAGATCTGAAGCGAAACAATGGAAGAAAAAGACAGGAAATGAAGCTATAATGCACCAGTGAGTAGGAAAATTCTTATGTGGGAGGAGTGGAAAAATCTTTGTAGAGAGTGTGTGTGTCAGGTGTGCGATTGGGTGTTACTGCTGGTAACCAGGCAGTACTGGATCTTGTCTCATGGGGTCTGAGGGGAGCCACTTAATCAGTTATGAGTACGAGAGGATAACACACCCTCAGTCCAAGAGACCGCCTCACTCTAAGAGAGCTTCAAGCACAGAGAGCTCTGCCTCCTCACCAGCAAACAACAAAATAACCCCGACAACAACATTTAGCTGATACCGCTGCCGTTATGACTGATAATGGAGCTAATGGAAATGGATTCTGATAACCACAGGCCTCCAAATGGACCGTAGCGATATAGCTCCAAGGAGCTGGTTGGGTTGCAGAGATCCAAACAGATAAAGTGGAAAGCTACACAACGTCAGGCTGAACTGCTTCAAAGGTAATAGCCAGGTTTTTGTATTCTTAATCTCTGTGTTTGTACAGGTTTTTTGTGTTGCATAGATACAACACTTTAGATGATCTTAGCAGCATTGCAGTATTGAGAACGTGAAAATGACAATCATCTTACAAAATCAAATTTTGTTTGTACTCTGCATCAAGTTCCCATTTCAAAAGTTTCAGCAAAAATACGGTATGCTGCCATTTGCTATGAAGCCTTTCGAACTGACTGTATCAGAGGCAGAAAAGGACGGGGCCACTTGAGAGAAGCATCTCGATAGAGGACTATAAATGTACACATTTCCATGGAAGCCACCCTCTGGATATCTATATCCTTGGTGCTGCTCTCAACAAGGGGACTCAAGTGTAGTTGTTTTCACTATACTGTGTCTGTTTCCAACGTATTTTTCCTTTACCCGTGAGTTATAATATCTATTATTTATAGTATTGAACAACTTAATTACAGTTCATGTCACTCAGCCAGCTGAGCACCACTGAGGTTTCTGTCAGATCTTAAATGCATTTGTTTTTTTTAACTTTTACAAGTATTTCAGTAGGCTCAATTGTGGATAAATAATATGAGAGAAGAAACACAAAATAAATCATTTGTGATGTTGCGGATCTCAGTATCAGCACTAACTGAAGCCTATAACAACTGAAGTCCTATTCAGCTGGTTCCTTCACCCGTTTAAATGGGCGCATCCCATATACATGCAATCCACTGACAGAAAGTCCTTTTTCACAGAACAGCGTGATGATCCAGTCCAGTCACATTTCCTCCAAAAGCCAAACATTTCAGAAATATGTCATTACTGATCTTTGTTGCATTCTTTTCAATGAGATCAGGCAGCCATTCAGATGTTCACTTAAGTGTCAGATTTGTATTGACATGAGTCACATTGTCCTGGAAAACATTCATATACCACAGTAATGCAACTATCTGAGCAAAGCGCATAAGTCAGTTAATGGGCCACATCTTTGATTATGGTTATTAATAGCCTGCCTAGCGCTACACTACAAAAATGATGGTTTAATCATTTAAATATAACCTACATATTTAACCTTAATAACTTTTTCTCAAGGACCTGGGGCCCTTCTGAAAATAACCATACTGGGTGTGTTTCTTGCAGAAGCTTTATCTGTGGTACCAACATTCTACAGAGAAACCAGGCTATTATGCACCAGCTTGAGTACAGCTTTCTGTTTTGCCTGGGGATAAGCATTATCTGCTCATTAATTTACTTGGGGTCCATGATGCCAGCTGAACGAAAATCCCTACACCCTTCAAGTTGCAGACCCTTATCCAATAAATGTAAAGCTTTTCTGCCCAGCATGGACAAAGGAGTAGAATGGCAGCGGCATGACTGTCAGGTATGTTTTTTTATTTTTATTTTTATTTTTTTTATTGTATGTGTATTTCTGAGCAATAAAATGCAAAAGTTCTTCTGGAACAAACCCAATAAGCCCAGAGAGCAGTACTGAGTAGCAGATCCCTGTCAGAAATGTAGCATATTTATATCTTTGTTCAATCTACTCATAAAAAGAAATTGAAAACATACACAGCATCTACGAGGACTGATCTCAGTCTTCATAGAAACAGATGTACAAACTCAATTGAAAAAAAAAAGGAATAAATCAAGCCAAACATGAGATTAACCACATCTACAGAATGATGCTAGGATCAATGTAAGAGCCCTTTTTAAAACATGGATTAATTTTTTATATGAGTTTGAATTTCATCTGCCTTCTCGTTTACAGGTGGAAAGCTATGTTCTAAACAGCAACGTGCCATGTTCAGATTTTATCAGAGACCTACACTTTATCACCAGACCTCTGAGTCAAGAGGAAGAGCACTACCCTTTAGCTTTCATTGTGACTGTTCACAAAGAGCTGGAGATTTTTGTGCGCATGTTGAGAGCCATTTACATGCCACAAAACATCTACTGCATTCACATGGACGCCAAGGCTCCATGGGAGTTCAGGGTAGCCGTGCAAAGGCTCGTCCACTGCTTTGACAACGTATTCCTCTCCAGCCACAGCGAGACGGTGACCTATGCTGGGTTTTCACGCCTACAAGCTGATCTGAACTGCATGAAGGATCTGGTGACATCGAATGTAGGCTGGAAGAAGATAGTGAATCTGTGTGGTCAGGATTTCCCCATCAAGAGCAATCTGGAGCTGGTGCAGTACATGCAGAGCAAAGAATGGAGAGACAAAAACATGACACCCGGTGTCAAACAACCTGTACACATGAGTCATAGAACAAAACTCCAGTATCAGGAGATTCCAGGGTCTCATGTAGTTTCAAAGGGGCTGAAAAAAGGTCCTCCACCACGCAATCTGCAAATTTATTTTGGGACAGCATACTATGCTCTAACAAGGGATTTTGTAGACTTTGTTCTAAAAAGCCCTGTAGCCCGTGAACTCTTGGAGTGGTCCAAAGACACATTCAGCCCAGACGAACACTATTTTGTGACACTCAACCACATCAAAGGTAACATGCTTGCTTTAAAATGTACACAAACACAAGACATTATTCTTATCCACGTTCTACAGCACAGTTCCAAATATGGGTCTTCTTATCTACTAGAAAAAAACAATGTTTGTAAATGATAACAGGAGACACTTGAGACAGCAACACAACTGCTAGAACTAGGTTAAGAAGATCTTAAACAAGCACACTAAACGGCTTTCATTTGGCCAGTCCGATTGAACCTTTTATAGCAAATATCAGAATCTCCAAATAGATGTAGTAGTAGACCAAGCATTCAGAGCAGTAATTTAGGTCTGAGAAACCTAAATACAGATTATTTTCACTGTGATCCCACCTGGTAAAGTAATGTTGCTCCCTATTCTGCAGTGAAACAAGAGCACAAACTCCTGGAAGATTAGCAGCTGGTTATCAAATAAAGCAGGCTAAAGATTTGCATATTAATAGTGGGCAGAGAGAGCAACATATTTATTGATATTTGCAACTGAAAAAACATAGTATTTTGCAAAGTGCTTTAAAAATATTTAGGTAATGAATTCCATATTCTGCACATACTGTATGGGACAAGAATGAACAACTCAGTATTTAGGCTCCAAGATCACTGTCACTCATATTGATATGGGACTTAAATTTGCATTAAACTAAATGTCAAAATATAGCAATGGTTAAACCTGGAGCTGCTTCAGCATGCTTTTGAATACAGTCAAATAAGACCAGTCAATTTTCTATTTCCTTTTTCTTTTCTGGTCAAGGAAATGCATGTTGAGTCATGCCATCACAGCATTTTTGAGCAGGTTACATGCTTTCTTTGGAATTCCAAGGACATTTTTGTAATTGGGTGTATTTTTGGGTTGTCCTCTACACCTACAGCTAGTGGCAATGGAGATTATTTATTTTGCCTGTCTTACTGGGTATACCGAATTCAGGATATCCAGTGGTAGACACTTACTTAGATGTAGGAATTATATTCTATGTTTATGAGGACCTGCCTTTAAATTTCATTTGCAAATCTAAAACTATTGACCATTATCCAACATGCATGTCACTGAAAATAAAACTGTTCTGCTGACCTTGTATTTTTAGATTTAAAAAAATGCTTTAACCAAAGGAGAGATAAGGACTGTAACCTGGTGCAATTTGAACGAAAATGCAAAGTTGTTCATTGTCAGTCTTATTACGATTACAAAGATAATGGAACCTACTTATTGTCCTCAAAAAGTTTTGGTTTAATTGTATAAGTTATTTTAATAGCTAAGATGAACTGAGCATTTTGGCAAAATTTCCTATTCTTAATTCTACCTAAGAGCAGTACTTTAGTCACTTCATCACGCTTTATCGAGAAGCATTCAGGACTATATCCCAGCTGCCTGGGCAAGGTGCACATCTGCCAATTACACCTTGAAAAAATCAGTACATTTCAGGTGGGCTATGTTCTAATTATTCCTTTTGTCTGCTTACATGTTTGAAGAGGCCCCGGGCAGCAACATTGATGGAGGTTGGGCAGGAGATATCCGGGCAATAAAATGGAGGGATCAAGAGGGAATGACACACAATGGGTGCAGAGGTACAGTACCGTAGCATTTGAATATTAACAGTTGGTTTCAATTTCTATTGATACTTTGGAAACCACATTTAGGATTTAAAGAACACGATTGCTTCATATATTTTCTTTTGTTTTTTTGCTAATAGTTATCCAAGTTACCTCAAACAAATACGGACATACTGAATATAATAACCGCCTGTATCTAGGCACCTGCCACATGAACATATTCTTCTTATTAGCCTTTGCCTTGAGCCATTTCCACTAATATGCTGAAGCCCACACATTTTCTATGTTGTCTCCATGAAATTAACAAATGTCTGCATGACACTGATTTGCTTTTGAGCAGTTTACTGTTTAAGCGCACAACTGCTGGGAAATAATACCAAATTCCAGTTTCATTGTTAGATTCAACATTTCATGTTACAATTGTAGCTCTGATCCAAATTCTTTCAACAACTGCCTCTCTCAATGTTCCTCCCACGCGCTATCAAATGTTTTCTGGCTAAGAGCAAAAAATGCTATCATTCAGGACAGATTAGATACCCAATTTAAATCATAATCTTCCATTAAGCGTGTTTTACCACTGCAGCACCCAGGAGTTTTTTCTACTGTGAGGACACGTCTAACAGAGATTATCAGAAACGTATGTCGGAACTAATAAAAAAGCAAACAGTGCCTGGACATCATATTCCAGAAACCATCTGGCCTTATGTGTGATAGCAAATCGGTTTGCGCATTATGGATTTGTGCTTTAATAGTAGGATGAAAAAAAGATTTGTGTACACCTAAAAACACATTAGCTTACTCACCCAAATAATTTAATCTATAAACACAAAAAACATTCAAGTTCAAAATTAAAATAACTGATTCTGCCTTAAATCCTAAATTGCTTCTTTTTTTTTTTTAATCCAAAGGCCGTTACGTGCGAGACATCTGCGTCTACGGAGTGGAAGACCTGCCATGGATCATCAACAAGAACAGCATGTTTGCCAATAAGTTTGAGAGTAATACATTTCCGGAGGCACTAGACTGTCTGGAGCAGTGGCACAGGAGCAAAGTGCTGAACCAGACAGCTGTTCCCATAGAGCGGTCATGGCTGCTTGCCACTCAGAGCAATTCAAGAGGCAGCAGGGACTTCAGCAGCCATGCTGGAGCATGAAATGACTGTTAATGTCCTAAATGTAGCAGCAGATTATTTGCATTTACTTAGTAGATGTCACAAAGTGAGAAGGATGACTGTGCTGTGCACGCCTCAATACGTCTTTATGACTCTGACATTGTTATTTTTGATTATTCATGAAACAAAGTCATGAAAATACAACGAAATGAATTACAAATTTATTGTTATAAAGTAAAGCTGTGAGATGCATGTGTTGATAAATCTATTGTCTAATGTATTAAAGACCACATGAAAGTGTAAAAAGGCTATTTTGCAGAATCTTCTATTTTGTTCCTTCTTAGACAAGATATCATTTCATCAGCCTTTGAGAGTTTAATGACAAACACTTAGTGTTAAACTTAGAAATTTAAACTTAAGAATTTATGGTATTTTTTAAAGATAACTAAATCAAATTCAATTAATTTTCACTTTACATCAGAGTTTAGCCTGGGCTGAAGGTAGGAAAATATGTACGTAACCTTTTATAAACACAAACTCAAATAATTAAACACACAACAGTACAATACAAATTAGATAATGTTTAAGGTGATAAAACAAAGCAATAAAAAAAATCATGCTCATATTGTTTTTTAAACAACTAAATGTATATTGTTTACAATAAACTAATCTAAAACCAGGAGTCTGCAGAGGTAGGGAGCAGATATTTCTGTTGATTAAGTGCAGTTCACGAGATAATGCAGCATGAACATAAAAGGGGGAGGGGCAGGAAGAGAGGGAAGTGAAAGATAAGCTTAGTTACGGTTCGTTTGTTAAGGAATAAGGTGTTCTTACATTAGATTGCATTACATAAGTATTTTTTTTAATGAATGGTTGGATGTGTCCAAATTTTTTTATAATTTCACAACAGTCCAATTAACTTAAGAAACTTTTGTACTGATGGCTAGAAATGTGAGGAAAGCTGTCACGACACAATTATCTCACAAACACAAATATACTTGTAAAGGTCTGTATACAGAGCCAATTTCCCACGAGAAACCCTGGGGGGGGGGGGGCTAACCCTTATTTTTGGTAAAGGGAAGAAAAAAAAGAATAACTGATCCATGACGGGTCTTAAATGCTTTCACTTCAGCAGAAACAACAAAAGAGTCTGCATAATATCTCAAAATAGATTATGTATGGGAAATAAAAACATAGCTTTAAAGCTTTGAGCAAGCAGGTCAAAACCCAAAATAAGTTATAGGACTGCTTCTGTGAGATTTCCATGGCTCTCCAGCTGGGTCAAATAGAGCTGGGGGGAGAAATATTCAACTAAAATATGTATAATACAACTACCAAGTATAATTGGTAAAAAAACAAGCATATATAGTTTATCATGTATTAGCTCAGTTCTGGGTACTGTGACTTAGCTTTCTGATTCTTTACATGGTTGTTTATGCTATTATTAGAACAATCAACCTGTCACCATTAGTTTATGTTTAGGTTTAGCAGTACCTCTAGGTTGTTCTAAATATGTAAAAATAACGTAATTATGCCAAGTCTTGCTCATTTTCTGAACAGTTACAACAACGTTTGAGCTCTACAGAGATCTGAGATGGGTAATTCTCCCATGCATCCCATGGGAGCCTTAAAAAATAGCCACAAAGCCACAAAGTTCCTATCTATTTTAGCAGCAGCTGTGCATCTGGAACCATCTCATTTTCAGATCATTATCGTTTGATTGAAATAGAGCTCTCAACTACAGAGAAAAAACAAAGTAAGAATTGATACGATGAGGACAGAAACAAAAAGAATTGCACAGAATAGGTATACAGGAAAGGACCATAGTTTAAAAAAAGAAAAAAAAGACAGTTACTCACCTTGTGGCAGATTTCTGCCTTGACCTCCTTCAGGGCCCTGTCTGAAAACACACAGCCGCAGGTCTGCAAGTAACAGAACCTGAAAAATAAAATAAAATTGTATATGTACTATGCAGGTAGATTGTCACCCTTCTATTTTTTTCTAGTTTCTGTTTAAAGTGACCCCATAAAAGCATGTTTCAAAACAGTCCCTCAGCAAAAAATAAAACTAGATTGGCCACTCAGGATTAAAATATTCTGTAAACAAATTGCAGTATTAATTGAACTAATTCACAGTTAAATTAACCGAAGATATCCCTCTATTCTCTAGTAATGAAAAAAAAAAGAGCATCAGATTCAAACAATCAAGGATTGTGAAGTGTGAAAAAGATAAAGAAACCTGGTGGGAAAAAAAACATGTATACACTAACAATTTTGCTGAACGAAATACACAATATTTACAGAAGCTTCAGCTGCAAGCCAAATGAAAGACTACTCTTGCCTGCATCTCTCACATCATCATACTCATTGTTACTGTATGTTCTCCCTCGTGTGTTTATCCTGCCAATTGAACATCTCCTGAGAGCAATGAATGTCTTGATCAGTAAATATTGATTCAGTAAGAATGAATGATTCCTAACAACAGCACTAAATAGACAGGAAGAGATTTTTTTACAAATAAGACAGGTGATTTATATTTAGAAAGGAACAATACACCAAAAATATTTTTTTTCTACACCAGCACAAGTCTGATAATCTATTATGACACTGATAAGTGGTTAAATGAGTTATGCTATTAGGGATGCTAAATCCTGCCAGATTTTACGCAACATTTAATCTCCAAAGATATTTTTTCTTAAACATTCTTCATTAAAACCACACATGTTCGGATTATATTTTGTGACATAAGCAAGTTTTCCTATAACCAGTTTTAGGCTCACTGACTTTGGTGATGTTTACCTGTGTTTTCCATTCATCTCCAAACCAACAACTGGACAGATAAACATGCCACAGTGAATGTCTTCATATCTGTCTCCTTTGGTACTTCTTCTCTCTCCTTCCCATTCAGGGTTATCAGTCAAATTGAGTTCCTTTATATCCTGCAGAAACAATTGGTCAAACAATTCATGTTGTCAATCAAAGAAACAAATTCTAAAAAGAAATCCAGACATAATTGCCTGGGCTCCAGTCTCTCTGCAAATGTATATCCATATGACAGCCCCAATACCTTGATCCCACGGATGTGCGAAACAACCTCAGTATTAGGTCTCTCCGCAGACTTATCTAGAAGGTATTCAATAATGGCATCTTTGTTGTAAAGCCTGAAACAGAACATGGACATACTTTCAAACAACATTTCTTTTTTAAGATTATCCAAAAGTGAATAACACTTGTGTTACGAGGTTTTTATTAAAAAAATAGTATCTCAACAACAAAAGCTGGGTTCTGGAGACTAGTATAGCACTTTTACAAGGACATAATCAGTATCCAGATGAGGTTCTGCAAAACTTGATGATATTTAAATGTTTTAGACTAATCTCAACATAAACTGGAAGAGTTAAGGCTCTATAAAGCATAAGTAAGATGTATGGCAGAAGGGTTTATATCTGATGTTAAACGTGTACATAATAGGATATCAAAGTTTTAAAGCTTTTACAAAACAGTACAAAAATCGAATCTGTTGTAAAACTGGTATATTTCTTTGCAGTCTGTGAAGACTATGGCAGCTTGAACTCAAATGCTCTATTTGAAATATATATATATATTTAAACGAAATTATGGAATATTTAGTTAACATTTGTGAACATTATTTGTCTTTAATTAAAATAAAAGGCTGAAAACCGAACATTAAGTGACATGAATGGTGGCCAGCTTTTTATTTTTTTGCGATACTGAGTATTCCAGAATTATAGAATATGGTAAACAAATTGACGGTAAGTGTATAGAATCTAATATCTCTTTGGTGGCCATTACTTAAGTCTGACTTACGATACAAATAAGAAAACACATCTCTTACCTGCCCAGCTCACAAGAAACGATGGGGCGTCTGAGTTTCTCTTGGCTCAAAGCACAGTACTTCCACTTCGCAGCTAGCTCTGCATTCTTGTCAACCTGAAAAAGTCCAACGATAATGTATTACGCCATAAAATAGATTAAAAGCAATTTGCTCAGTCTATATCTCGTATAGATTTAAAGTCTTCGGTTTGAAATCTGATGCAAATAAGGACATCATTTAAAAGTGAAATTAAATAAATAATCAATCATGTTAAAAGGTATTTTTCTATGCTAGCAATATAAGGCTTAGTCTGTTAGCGTTAGCAACCGACTGTTTTCGATAGGGTCCAAAGCACGGAACAATTTCAACAGAGAGGGTCAGGAAATTAATGTAACTCACCTTTTCCACTTTTTTGGGACCTTTGACCAACTCGTGTCTTTTGGGAATTGTTCCACCGTCGCATCCCATCTTGAAAATAGACTTTAATTTGAATTAAGATAGTTAGCTCGAGCGGACAAAACAAGACACAGTCAGGAAGTTCACAGGTTATAAACAATCAACGAGAGATCTGCAAAACTCGCGGGATGTGGTGTCAAAATGGTTTCGCCCTCTAGTGGCCAAATGAACAAAATTAGCTTCGAGTTGCATACCATAACTTCAACCACAAGATGACGCTGTAATTTAAAAAATCTGATGCTTTGGAGCAAAATGGAAGTCTACCATTTTTCATTTTTGCTTAAATTGATTACTCCCGTCCGGAAACAATGTTTCATTTCTAAAAAACAAACAAACATTAAATGAAAAAAAAACATATGTTTTTTTTTTATTTATTTGTTCAAAGTATGAGGATAATCCATTAAGAAATGATAACTTCCTGCCAACAAATTTAGCAGTCGACAAGTCCACAATTTACTTCAGTCTTACATTTCCCATCCATCTATCAGACATTTTCAGTCAGCCATTAAACCTAGAACTAGTAAGTGACATTAGTCTGGCTTTCAGGCCCTTTGTCAGAGTGGTCTGAAGATGAAAGTTTCCTTGGAAGATAGTTCAGTGAGTGCTAATGAGATTTGTTTCCTGTGCCTTGCAGACTGCAGATTAGTTTACTATCGATGGTGCTGTCCAAGAGCGACCATTAGTTTGGGGAATACCTCAATGTAGACATCTCTGGCGGCATGACTATAATAATCTGCGTGAAAGAAAAGACTTAATAAAACTCAATGCCGAACTCAACATAGTCTAAGAAAATACATTTCATTGTATTTATGCTTATCAGGTACAGGTTGACAAATGTATTCTAAAAAATGAGGCAAAATGAAAAAATATAAACACAGCTACATCTGCCCATTTTGCCACTTGGTTCGATTAGGTCTTCCTGTAATTTATAAATTGTGTTACGTCTCTTATTGAATTTCCCCCCTTTCTCACAAAGAGCTAAATGTTTAGTATGGATTTTCATTAGAGGCAATGGAGTGAAAGCTCTGTTAGCAAACTATCTTTGAGACATCACAGCACCCCAGGCATATAGTAAAAAGCAACACCCCAGGAACACACAATGCACAATGGCTGCTGGAATAAGGAGGACAAGAACCATGTTCTACTTTTTCTGTTTTCTAAAATGCTAAAATAAGTTTCCTATGAAAGTATTTAAATAAATGCAGTGACAATGATCTTAGTGGAAATAATATTATTGCTTTATCTTGTTACACTTTTTTATATTTAGATTAGCTGTTAAGAAGTGTACGTTCATCTATGAAGATGAAAACGTTCTCAACCAAATTCTCTAAACTTTTTTCCCCTGTTTTCTGGCGTGAGAAAAGTTAGATACAAATGCCAGTATTCTAAATAACTAACAGAAACATGTGTGCTTTGTGTAAATTGTAGATTACATGCTTATTCTTAAATGTTACCCTTATCTGTTAAAAGTCATCATATATTGTGTTAAATACACTTATCAGACGATATAATTTATGATACATTGAAAATGTTATCCAGTAAGATGTGTGTGATAGCGAGGTCAGGCAGAAGGGGAGATTTTTCCACAGCTGACCCAAAGAAAACCTCAACCACCAAGCACCCATCCAATTTCATGTTTATACTTCCATGATGAGTCCAACCTGCCCAATCAGACTTCCAGTGAGTGGCCATGAACTGAAACTGGATACATCTTAACCATTCCAGTCATCCAAAGCAGCTTGTGGAGACTAAAGCTGCATTAATTGCATGGACCAGCCACTTTATTGCACCGAATCCAATGCATTTAGTGTATCTAATTGGAGAGGAATTGCTGTGTTTACATTGGCACTAGTTGCTAGAGCTGGACCCTCAACCCTGCAGCCAAACAAGCTAAAGCTCTCTGAGGGAGAAAACCAAAACTACCTCGTCTCTGAAAACTTCCAGGCAGGAAATTATTTGGAAAAAAGTAGAGGGCTATTTATTCACATTTATCATGGGGGGTGGTAAAGATTTTTTTTCCTTCTATTTTGTTGATTTGGGAAGCCAAATATATTTTAGTAACAAAATGTCTGCCTTCCTGCAAGGGACTGGCTCAGCATTTTTTAGATTTTGTTTGATTTAGTTGACGATGTGCAGACCTTTTTCGTAATTAAAATATCTGCATATAGTCAAAAGCCAGATTACTAAAACTTCAATGAGAGCCAAGCTTATGCCTGATAATTGGTCAAATTAAATTAGCATATAGAAAACTACAAACAATTTTACCAAGGGATTAAACATTAAAATGAAATACAAACGAGAATTAATTTTAATTCTGAAAAACGTTGAAAATCGCAGTTGATTTTTTTGCTTTGCACTTAAACAACAATCCTGACTTCCACTTGAAATGTGAGCTCTCTTGACTTCTCGAGTTGCATTAATTAATTTCATGGTTACTTAAATACAATGATCAAACGAGGAGTACAACATTCTATGGCATAAAGTCTGAGGGTGAAGCAGCACCCATCCATGTGCAAAAAGTTAGTAGCAGTAATACTGTAGCAATTCCAAGAGATGTGTAGGCTAAATAACAGCTACCAGTTCTAAACTCCATCCTTCCATCAATTTTCTATACCCGCTCAGATCTTAAGAATATTTCTAACAGTTCTACAAAATGCTTCAAACAGTAATGTTAACGCCATCATTTCTGCAACAAATTGTTATTTGGTATTTTTCCCAAAGGAGTTCTATCACCCTTCTTGGATAGCTTAATGAAAGACAATGCCTTTGCAAAACTTGAAAAGATTGGTTACAGGCTCTTGGTTGGTATTTTTTATATGATCTCCAGTCAGAGGTGATCAGAAGCAGAATACACTGCTCATCAGCTATTCATCTAATGGAACAGAGTGGCTCAGATGTCATTTGCTGTTTTACTGCTTAATTTACTACCAGCGAGACATGTTATTAACACAACCAACATCCAAAATCATCCAAATATCTGTTGCAGAGTAGTGTAAGAAAATAAGATAGTAGGATAGTAGTAAGGTACATTTCTAATCGGCAAAGTATGACAGTAAACATGCTAAAGATATAAAAGATGCCATCAGTCTTAACCCAAATCAGTAATTTGATTGTTTTATCTGTCCATATGCTACGATGAAATATTGTAGTTAATTATGTTTTTGCACAACAAATTGATTGCAGTTCTTCCTTTTAGTTATGTAGTTTTTCTCATGATCAGTTAACTTACTGGAGGGGAACTGACTCTAAGGTCAGGAACAAAAGAAAGAAGGCTTATGAGCATTTACCTTCAATTGTACATTCAGCACAACATTTCCCCTTTCTAAAAACCCTGCTACACGAAATAATTTATTTAACTTGTTATTTCAAGTTGAACAGTGAACACTGCCGCACTCACTCAACTCTGACACTATGTATCAAGGCCTATACAAGTTCATGTACTAAACATATAATGAGAAATCCAAAACCCTGGAAAAAGCATACTACATCCAACATGAAGAATGAAATGGGCTACCACACACACAAGTTGACCACAATTATTTTCTCATTCCTTCTCTTGTTTATGTTGAAACTCACATACTGTAGATGAAATTATGTCAGTTGGAAATACCGCCTGCAACAAATTTATTTTTGGTCAGTACCGCACTACTAATTAACACCACTTAATAGTACACCTTATAATTAATACACTTACGTTTTCATCCTAATATTTTACAAATCTCTTTTACGGTTAAAATTCAGTGTGTGTGTGTGTGTGTGTTTGTGTATATGCCGTTATTTATATGATCAGAATCAACTTTAGGAGAGGGTTATGGACCAGGATTCCTTTTTGCAGCAACATTTTGTGTGACATTTTCTTATCCACTGACAGCACCAAAGTGCACAGCTTGACTCTAGAACCTTTAGGAACCCGTCCAAGAGAAAACACACACCTACAGACAGGCACACACTCACCGACACCTGGGCAAAGTTTCCCCCCCTTAGCCAGCTAGTTTTGTGATTGTCTTTTCCACTGTGGCAAACCACTCTGAACTCCTTCAGACCTGCAGATGCAAACCCACTAACAGATAATACATCCATACATGCATGCAAAAAGCTACATACACACAGCCTGTGTACACAGATGTGATACGACAAACTGACCTGCAGATGGTTCAGAGTCCCTCTTTGGTAGAGGAAAGTTTGCATACATCAGTAGAGGATATATGAATGGAAAAATTGCTTGTGCTCTGGCAGCACACTCAGTCACAACTCATTACCTTGACAAGGCACCCGAGAGGTTCTGACAGCATGCTGGCTATGGCTGGTGTTGCCTAGGGTGTGGGGACATACCTGTGGCTGCCTTGTATACTCTGTGGGCACGTGGTTGAGGACTAGGCAGCCGTAGTAGCAGCTGAGGCCTGGCCGCCACGGTAGCTTTGAGGCTTAATGCCCACGCCAGCTTCTGCCTCTCCATATGTGTCATCAACAATAATAAAATTCTCTCACTTTTAAAAATATTTTTTCTCTCTCACCATCTCATGCTTCTGCCCATGCACACTCAGGTTACCGTCAAGTGGGGAAATAGAGGGTGATTTGACTGTGCTGTGGTGTGATGAGCTCAGTGCTAACTCTGACTGCTCACCAAGAATCTATTTGGACTGTGGTTATTATTTTTAGTTTATTCATACGCTTTTCGTGGCTTCAATCCAGTGAGAACTTAGTTTGGATGCAAATGGTTTTTATTAGAAAAATATACTACTGTCTAACCAGTAAGTAAAAACAAATAGCCAGCTAACTTTGCTTACCTTAATGATCAAAGGGAGTGGAAGATGAAAATCATTATGTTTGCAATAGATGACCATCAAATGTTATTCACTGAGACAGTTAAAGTGTGATTAATTACTTTTTTCTATCTGTATTTCAATCTATGTTATAAAAAGTAAATTCTCTGCCACAGTTTTTGCAAAATGTTAAACTAATGTGAAATCAATCGATGCATGTCTGGGCACATGATCTTTTGTGCACATAAAAGTAAAATCATTTTACTGCCTAAATCGAACAATAAAATGCTGACTGTTGCATTTGATATTTGGCAAACTCTTTTTGGGAGATGATATT